ATGCATCTTCTGGTTGAGTGTGTCAGTATCTTCGTATTTTCAGCACTGTTTCGGCTTCTTGTTTTGGCCGGCGGTATTTAAGCTCATGTCAGCTGGCGTGCGGTTACGGCTCGTTTACATTATGTTTTACGTCACGTGCACTCGGCGGTTCCTTGTCGCGGTATAAAAAGCCGTCTGTTGTGCGTGCGCGCGGGGCCCTATTTGCTGCTTTGAGGCCCGTATTTATACCGTTCGCAGCTGCGCTCCGCGCATTCTGCCAACGATTGCACCAAATATCATCTGTTAATGTGTTGACTGGTCTTTGGTTCTTTCCCCCTCGGCCTAATTTTTCGACCCTTATACATTTGAATCTTTGTTATCATAACGTGAACATTAACATGACAGATGAGGCGACGTAGATATTTCTAGTGTGGCATTATTTTGTATTTACAGTTTTACCTGCACGGCGGTGGGGGGGGGGGGTTGCGCCCAGCTACGCGCACGTGTTGAGTATAAATTTTGGAGACCTAATCCAAAAAGATGCCCGAGTTGGAGTATTCGGTTTATCACGCAACGGAACGTAACAGTAAAAAATGTATGCATCGTTAAAAAAATGTATGCATTCAGTAAAAAATGTACATGCATCCCAGGAGTCACATGAGAAAAAGTTGCATGAAGCGAGAGGACATGAGTTAAGAGTTACATGAAGCAAGAGTACATGAGTAAAAGTATACATAAGCAAAGAGGACCTGACGTAAGAGTTACATGAACAACGAAGGCATGAGTAAAAATACCATGAAGCAACGAGAACAATGACTAAAAATACTGAAGGCAGGCAGTGCATGAGTAAAAGACCTCCATGAGCAGGACTACATGAGTAAATGGTATGCGTGCATGGGGACATGAGCAAAGAAAAGTCTAATGAGCTTAAGACTGCAATGAGGCGATCTACGTCAAGAATTTACAACATGGCGGAGTGCAAGAAATCTAGCGAACGGCAAGGAATAGAGAAACTCACCTGGGAAGCGTAACACCATTAAGCGCCTGGTAGCAGAGCAAGATTCGAATGAGACGGAAGCAAGACTTCGGAATATTAAAATGGGAGTATTTTCCGAGTTTGCTAACGCACACACGAGGGTTGTCAGTGTGCTCTATCACTGACGACGGAGATTATTATTCACGAGCATCTATTTTCATTTAGATAGTGATGGCTTAATCTCTTTGAGGTTCAAAGCATGTGTATAATGGATGTGGTGAGACGAAGCGAAGGCATTCCCTCAAAGGGTCGAAGTTACCCAAATCAAGCCGGAGGCATTAAGACGACAAGAAAGCAGGAACTATGCACGACTGGAAACAAGCAGAGATTGTTCCAGAAACATCAACGAATCTGCTACGAAAAAGCAGGAGACAACAGAGGCAATTAGATTGTTTCAGGACCAACAAGAAGCAGCCAGAAAGCCAAGCAAGCGAAGAAGGTCATGGGTAGAATGGAACAAGAAAGAATGGTCCAGGAAACAGCAAACGAAGGCAGCCAAAGAAAGGCAAGAGAAGAACAATATCTTAGAATGGAACAAAACGGAATCTACAATGACACACGAAACGAACGCCGAGGCGAAGGGCAAGAAGAACATCGTGAAGCAGAGAGGGCATTTCTTCAGCAAACAAGAGGAATTTATGGCAGGCATCGGCAGAAGCAACCGGAACTGCAAACGAGTGCCAGGTCACGGTGGTCGTGAGGTACCCCAGAAGCTTTAGCAGGGCCCAGCAACGCTGTAGAGATGGGGATAAAACAGACATAGAGACAGAGGACACGCCAGAGTGGGAAGCAGACACGAAGAAGCCACCGAGGAAGTGAAAGAATGAAGAAGAGCAATGATGGCTGTGTTAGAAAAAACAGAGACAGGAAGAGATGAGCTAATGGCAGAGACAAGATGCCCATGCGGAAAGAAGGCAAGGCAAGGCCATGCGAAGCTACGAGGCTGTGACACGCACAAAGAACCACAGAAGAGCCTAAATTTCCTGTTGGAGCAGAAGTCTTGGTGAGTAAAGGATAAGCTAGAGAGGCCGAAGGTCAAGCTGAATACGCTGCTGATCTGAAAATGGTGGCCGACATAGAAGCTATGTATGCATCAAAAGTCCAATGATCCAATCATATGAATAGAGATGCCTACGGTTCTTGTGGCGTGAATGGTGGCGGGAGACGTGATCCTTTATAGCATAGACCTCACAGCGTATTTCTGGGGGGAGTAATGGTGCGCCCAGCAGTTGACATACGGTTTTGCGACGCCACGTAAAGGACCATGGAGATGTCGACCCTGCGGCTAAGTGACACAGTAACTAGATCGTTCTAGTCGACGACTGCCTCAAGTCAGTCGAAACGAATAGCTGAAGCCCAAATAATTATAAGAGGAACACGAGACCTGCTACAGAAGCCCGGGATTTAAGCATAACGGGAAGTTCGTGGGTGAAAAGCTCGAGACGCTTCTCGCGAGCGTATACCGGTGAGTGATCGACGCCAATGAAGTAAAGGTACTTGTGCCCTACCGTCAGAGAGTAAAGTCGTTTGGGATTAAGTGGAACCTATTGAGACCGTGAGACTTTGTTTTTTGAAGTGAAGGAGAAAACAAGGTGGCGTGTGACGAGACGCCCGCATGTTAACGGCCTGATTTCGACAGTGGTTTTGACCCCTCTGGGCCTTGATTAGTCCTATGGTGATTAACCAGGAAAAATTCCTGCTTCCAGAAGCCACGAGAACTTGAAGCTCATCGTGGGAGTGATGAAGTGCCCATAGATCCTCCGGTAGGAAATGAGGAAATATGGCAGGTGAAACACTTACTAGACCCTGAGACTTATAAGCCGTGAGGCAAGATGTATCATGCCGACCGAATCACAATGACCAAGTATGGTGAACTACATCACTTTCAGTGACGGCCAGTGAGAAACGCGTAACGGATGTTGATATGCTTATTGAGATTGTATAAGTCAAGGCTAAGGGCCAGAATGCACGACACGCCGTTAGTATCGAGCAAAGGTAGGGTGGCGGCCGATAAAGGACAACTTACGATCCCTACGTCTTGGAGCTTGGCACAGCCTGCAGTGTTTATCAGCGACAGGTGGACTGTCTATTGAAAGGCGAGAAGTTGGCAGCTCTGCATAACCCAGTCATATTTTTGGAACTGCGTGACAGTGACTGGTTTTTGAATACATTAAGAATGAAGCACGGAGGTTCCAGTATTCGTAAGGCAACACGGCCTGAACTGACTAATGACAATTCCCATTTTTGGCAAAAAATTGCCGTGGCTCAAAAGTACGTCGGCTGGCGTGCTCCAAAATAGGACGTTCAATATGGGAGCATAGCAGTAACAACTATACCCAATTTCAAACATGTGGGTCAAACGGTTCCTGAGTTATCGTTGACCGAAACCAAATGTTAATGCACAGACGGACGGATGTACGACAGACGACGACCCATGGCAATAGCGAGCAGCTTGACGATGTCAAGGTGAGCTAAAGATGAGTAAGTTAAGTTTCACTGTAATTAAGCAAGAATTCATTTCTTGTCACAATATTAATGATTTCCTCGATTTTTTCCAAGAAATTCTGTTGGCTCTGGACAAACCAATCAGTTATTATTTATAATAAGCCTATGCAAAGTTTTACAGCGGATAGAACTCACCTTTCACGTGGTGCTATACCCACATGCTTTATATTTTCAGCGTCTGCTGTCTATTCATTAATCACTACCAAAACCATTGTCGATGGATTACACTGTACACATACCAATCGGGTGGTAAATCGTAGAACACGGTGGCACTTTTCGCTTGCACAGGCTCGTAGACGTTGGTGTGCTCCAGGAAAGCAGTGTTGGGCCTGCATGCCAGGTCTGGGAAATTACTGGCCGTTGGCTCCAACATGGACTGATGTTTCTTGGGGAGGTGGCCGCTGCTTTTACCCGGTCCGTCCGTGTACCTGCAGCTATCCTCTAGCTCATCGAACGACACAAGCTCTGCGGAGCAAAACCAGGCGACACGTCAAACCACATGATTGTACGCTTGTATGAGCATGCAAGGAATGAAATTAGCCAAAATGTGAACAGGCCCACCTAAAATTTTAAACAGGTCCTTAGGCAAATTGAACAGGCCCTTAATTTTGTTCAATTTATTCCATTATTAATAAAAGTTGAACCAGCGGTTTAAGGGGTTGAACCGGCAGCCGCTGGCAAAATAGCGGTAATTTGGCGCACTGAGCATGGTATCTGAGATACGTTAACTTGTTTAATATAATATGACACTCCTTATGAAACCACATGCTCGGATGAGCACGGTATCTGAGATACGTTTACTTCTTTAATACAAGTGCCGCGGAGCGACAGCGCTCATCTAACGTCTACTGCGGTGACTCTGTGGTGGAGTGGTGGGATTCTAGTAAACCCTGTTAGTCCCAAATGTGTTCACATACGCGCCGAACAGTGGAAGGCACGGGAGGTATCAGGAACTTCTCAAGGAATGTTCCGTTAGATCGTTGTAAAAGTTGCACGAGATGGCGCGTACGTTTAAGTGTCTTAAGATTAAAGATGGAAGCTCCCATCATACGTAGTAGCAACAACTATTTGCAAGACAGAATAGGTAAACTCATCCATTTACCTACGCAAGCCTACAGGCTAAATAGGAGAGCTGCCACCTGCTAACTAATTAACGCAGGCAAAAACTACACAGTACTATCACCACTACATGCATGCAGTGGCCACTGGCAGTGGGATAAGTTACATGTAACACACTAACAGTACAGAATGCCATAGAAATATACGATTTAAGGAGCATAAACCTTCTTCAAACCAAATTTAGCTTTTGAATTTCACTGTGACATTGTAGCTCATACATCCAGGCATGTATGAATTCTACTAGCCAACCGGCAAGTCAAATTCTTCTAACAGACAGTAAACAAATCCATGTTTACCCTCCTCTTGAGGGTCAAAAGGTTATCCGACACTTACTCTTCGCATGTCAGCAGAAGGTACATTTTCATGGTCCTTTCAATAAAGCCATAAAAATGCTAGGTCACCGCTGAAACAAAAAAGTTTTTAAATCGCTCCGTCAGGCCATGTCCAGCAGAAATGTCTAAAATCTGCCCTGTGGCCATTGACTTTGACCTGTGACTCCAATTCGGCACAGTGATGGCTTTTCCTACCATGATGCTTTACACCGTCTATCACAACTAGGTCCGAGCCGTTTAGATTTGTGCCGCAATTCTGCATTTCCTCCCTATACCTTAAGTTAAGGAGTGAATGTCTCCCTTCTTTTACACCTCTATGACCTTTGACCCCCGCTTCGACAACCACCAACCGTTTTCGGATCTACCCCCCCAAGTCCCGAATAATCATACCGTACGTCGAGCGGTTAAGATTTGTGCCCAACTGTTTGACGACGACGATGCGACGATCATGCGATTCTACAAGCTGCATCTGACTATGTCAGATGAGCTAATAATATGACAATCCTTATCAAACCACATGCTCAGATGAGCATGGTATCTGGGATACGTTTACTTGTTTAATATAATAATAGGGCACTCCTTATACAACCACACGAGACCTGCTGCTCACCATAAGTTCTTGTTGCAGATCGCTTGCTGTAGAATGCCTCATCATGTTGAACTGTCTTCACGTGCATCCTACCCCTGAGAAGGCAACATAAACCTAAGCATAAACATAAGCACAAACATAAGCATAAGCAAAAACATAAGCATAAGTAATGTAATGAAGCTACAAACGAAGTACAGTTCTTCATTGCTTCAGTGCTTCGGGAATAATCTATAGTTTTACATTACTTACAGAGATAAGTTTTCTACACACATATTTAGCAAGTATAGTCCAATGATGTACAGTAGTCAAGGTAAATGCAAGGTCAACAAAACAAGATCAATGAGCAAACCCTGATGCCATATAAGCTCTCAAAACACATCCTATGTCCTAAAATTAACTACTATGTATAAATTACTGTTTCGGATAAGACTCAATATGTGGCATGTTTATATTTATAATGGGCGTAATTGATCACCGAAATTTGTTTCCAGCACTATTCACGATCTTGGAAAATGCTTAAGATTTTAATATATATATAATCATGGCAAAGATACCAAGGGTCCCTCATTGTTGTACTCATGACACTATATATGACTACCTTATTTTGCCGGTGGAGTCTCCTTGGTGCATTAGAAAGCAGGCAAAAGGCTGGGCTGTAATACTGAACATGTCTTTCAAAGCCACCACACACTCACCTACAACATAATCATACATAGCAGTCAAGCTGTTGTCAAATCTCTCCACACCTGATGCCATACATATATTATATTATTATTATTAAATCTTTATTGCACGTAATTCAAATACAAATACATGTACTGACTGACTGAAGACAGTGTTTTTCATGGAGAAAAAAATCTGATAAATGCAATATATTTACTATCGGCCATATGCATATCGCTGAATATTCAGCGATTGTGATGGCACATGATAGAAAATAGTATTATCCTACTAAAATCAAATCTGTTCAAGACGAATCGTATACACATGCACACGTGCACTTCAGTATAGCCGGAGGCCGTGTATATGATTATATATACATTGGACCCCCGAGATACGAATTTACTTCGTTCCACAGATTTGTTCCTATCTCAAAAAATTCGTATCTCAAACCCTGTATATAGGACGTATAGCAATTTACATACAGCAAGTGCAATCATGAGAGCACAACCACATTCAATGAGTCACGTACTTAAACTGACTCACCGAAAAAGCGCGCGCTATAGGCCTATGCCCTGATTGGCTGATTCGTAAGACGTTCGCATGTTGAATTTCATTCATTTGTTGAATACATTACGTTCAACGGGAGGTCGTTCGTATCTCGAAAATTTGTATGTCGAGCCGTTCATATCTCGGGGGTCCACTGTATACTATCTGCTTCCACCACTGACACAGAAGACAAGATACGCACCGTGATACTCATCTGTGATGCTTCCTTTGATGGCTATCATGATATGTTGATCTTCTAAATAACCAGGATCTCCATAAATTGGCACAAGCTAGAATGGTAATGAATTACAATTAAGATTAACAAAGTTACAGGATGTTTTTTTGACATTTTGTGTATAGAACACAATTACTATCAACACAATCTTTAAACAGAACTCTATTCCATAAATGAATTGCTTGAGATTAATTGGTTACAAAAAACAAATATAAGTAACTTTTTTTTCTATATGGATCATGGTGAAACTATTACATTCTGTTATTACGTATGATGGTTGGCATAAATAGAAAATTGCCTATTAACTAGTCTCGAAGCTATTCGGCACACACGCACGCACGCACACACACACACTGAACGTACCTTGGGCAGGACGCAAGCTGCCCACATTGTTCGTTTCTAACTATTAAGCTGGGTTTACACTACCGACTTTGTGTTGGCAAATTGGCAAATTGGACCAACTTCCCCACTATACAACTGACAATCGGCAGTGTAAATGCAAAAGTAGCGCGATCAACCGATCGATAGCAACTAGTTGGGAGATTAGAACATGATCTACAGAGTTGCCGAATTGTGAAATTGGTCCAACTCACCAATTTGCCAACATAAAGTCGGTAGAGTAAACCCAGCTTTAGACACACACACACACACACTGAACGTACCTTGGGCAGGACGGAAGCTGACCATGTTGGGGAGCTGAACCCTGTCACCTCAGAGACAAAGTTAGTATTCGGCTTGCTGAGCATGGGCTTCTCCAGACAAGTAGAGTGGAACTCTGCCATGAACGACTGGTGCGTCACAGTGCGTATCTGCAGAGGACAAGCAATGAAGGTGTCACGTACGGAAAGATGAGCGTCCAGATAGATGCATGCTCAGCATGCCTACTAATTCAATTTATGTATTAATTATGTAATTTAAGAAACTTAATTTATTTAAGTTAATAAACTTAATTTGCTTATATTAATAATAAACATAGTGTCACTTCATAGTCATGAAAAACAGTTAGCAAATATCGTGTTATAAATGTGATATTATCGATTTGTGTTCCGATCGTATAGTGTTCAGTGTATGTTATTGTATTTTACGGAAGCTTTATGACATACAAATTAAAAACTGGTTAAATAATAGTTATAACCAACATTAGGTAAGACCTGTTTCGGAAGGACCATGCACTTCAAATGATTCAATTTCAATACAATCATATTGCTTTTATCATAATAGTAATTGACCATGACTTTGATATAATTGTTAGGGACCAGTAAAATTATATATAGAATAATATAGATAATAGATATTATATCGATATACATAATTTAGATAGATAAATTTAGATTTAGATTTTAATATAGATATACAGCATGGGCGCACGTCAAGAGCATGAGCACATGGTGAGGTTAGTAAATCTGGGAAGACGCAATGAATAATGTGAGTGAGTGGGGAGGTGTAGGTTAACACGTGGGAACCCTGTGCGGCGATGCTTCACCTCTGCGGAAATGTTCTCAAAGACGATTTCAACAACGTTTCGACTTCTGGCAGAGTCGGACTGTGTTGGAAGGAACTGCGTGGCGATTCCAACTTCGTACGAACTAAACACAGGCCAGTGGTCACTGCAGATGACGTCCGTTGCACATCCTGAAGAAAATACCACAAAAAAACCTCATCAGTAAGCCAAGGCAAACCCGTGGAAGGTTATTATTTGACTGTGACACAATTCATTGACAGTGGTATAGAGAATTGATAATTATAAAAGTTGTCTGCAACAATGCAAGCTTGCAGTGTGATCTTTAGATTTACAAACACATGTGGCAGCAACGGCAGTAACGTGATTAATAATAACACATAAGTCTCAACAGATATGAACATTGGCCTAGGTGTGAAACTAGCACCAAGCCACTCGTAATACACAGGCCTACGTACCGTATGACGTGCAGACAATATGTGTTCCGGGAAAGGATTTTAACAGCACCCTATCTGTCCACGAGGGAAGATTGATTCTGATCTGTTGCATTATAAGCATGAAATAGTTATTAGCTAAAAAAAAAACTAAAGTCTAACAGCTTCCATTTAGCAACTTAGCATTTAATATTTTGTTATTGTGCAATATTTTTTATATATATATATATTTATTTTATATAAATACGTAAAATAAACAGATTATTGATCAAATAGTTAACGATTACAATCTTACCCCCGACTTTTTCGCTTTCTGCCACGAATAGCTACTCCTGTCACCTTTTTCAAACCTGTAAGTGGGTGGGAACTTCACCTCCTCTTCACCTGTCAAACAAAATCACACCTTACATGCCTTATACCACAAACATACGTACCATCCTAAGGTACATAAATATACATAGGGTATATAGGCTCATGATCATACCAGGAGTGAATAGAGATTATCATTATTATTATATATATAACATAATATAATATAATATATATATATATATAATATAATATATATTATATTATTATTACATTATATTATTAATTTTATTAGATTATTATATTATTTATTATTATTAACTCCTGATCCTACTTTGTTCCACTGGGTATGAGAGACACTCAGGCATGCCACTAACCAGTTGAGTTACAGGGGAAACCTACTGAAATGGCAGAAGGCATCCTCCGCCTGCCGCGCAGCCGTCAGCTGGTCATGACGGAACAGTTTCCTGCAATCTTTCGGCTCTGGCGCCAGTCTCAATGCCTCCGCCTCCTGGACAACAGTCTGTGCACGGCAACACGAGAACAATTATTAAAATTAAAGACAAGAGATGAGTTTGGGAGGTCTTGTACAGTTTCCTTGCAATGCGCTATCACTACACATGTGTATACCTACTTTAAACCCCCAAGCTTTCACTGATGGGCTTGGGATTAGCTTAGCATTAGGAGTAAGTCAGGCGATAAAGTTAGGGTTAGGATTAGGTGAGGGCTAGGATAAGGGCAGACGTGAGGGGTCAAGATTAGGAATAGGATGACGACTGATAATGATAATGACTTATATACTTGGCTTCTACAGCAACAGTGAGTAGACTAAACACTACAATACAATACAATGCAATACAATACAGTACAACACAATGCAATGCAATACAATCGGGTACATCACAGTACAATACAATGCAATGCAATGCAATACAATACAGTACATCACAGTACAATACAATTCAATGCAATACAACACAATGCAATGCAATGCAATACAGTACGACACAACACAACACAACGCAATACAGTACAATGCGGAGAATGGCACGCGAGCTGAAAAAATAGCTGACCGTTTGCTGGAAGTCAACGCGGTAGTTCAGGTCACCGAAGAAGAACACGTGGTGGAACTGGTTAGTCAGATCGAACATGTTCAGCGATTTGTCGCCGAGACCTTGCAGTCCTCGCAGAATGTCCTTGAAGTTCTGGTTTCTCCTGCGAACGCCGCACCGACGCGTCGCAAACACCGAGAGTGAGCGCAGCGCAGGCAGTAAGGTATTCCGCGTCAGCACAGTGTCAATCGGAAGCTGGTTGTGCGTGCCAACTGATTTTAACTGCATTTTGTTATTTTTCGTGCTGGCCATGCATGATAACGGATGTCACGTATTTATTTATTTAGGTAATTATCTATACATACATACTGTTGCAATATCTTTTAAATTCATGAAATTAGGTAACTACCAAGGATATATACACAAAAAGAATGACTAGCACACTAATTAACATTGCATGTACTGCAGATATGTAACACATGTGTATCTGTGTTTGTGTGTATCTGTGTTTGTGTGTACAAATACAAGTCTCAGTGTACGAATTGCACATCTTTATTAATCTGGATTTCTTAAGGCTCATCTCTAATAATTATATCGTAATTTTCATATCTGTATTATCTTAATAGATATCCTTATTACGCATAATGATTGAATACATATCAGATTAGAATATAGGTACCTGTGTAGTCGCTCATGGCCCGAGGTAAGGTGGGCGTTGATAAAGCAAAATGAGGTAGCATTGTAGTAGAACGATATCCCAACTGCCCCCTTGTTTCCTGCCACAAAAAGACAAGAAGATGCTGAATGGATGTTTAAAACAATAAGAAATCGAGAATAGCCTGCACAGTGCAGGCAGATAACAGGAGAGAATGTTGATACCTGCTGCAGGTTATCGAAGAAAGTTGAAAAGCACTTACAGAGAACAGAGGCAATCATTTACGATAATTACTGCTAGAATTACGAGACGGTTACTTACATATTGTTACTCAAAGAAACCTTACTTTAGATTGTGCACGTATATCCATGATATGCAATGCTATCCAAATAATGGCACACATGTTAGGAAAAAGAAACAAAAAAATTTCCACATAAAACACAAGTGCTACAACTAACAGATAAACAGACTGTGAACACCAAAATACAAGTCAGCATTGGAAAAAATTAGAACAGTTAAAAGTCAGTGGGCGTATCTACACTTACTTATTACAAGTACAGGTTATACTTATATTACTTAGCAGGATGTGTGCACATATACATATATCTACATATCTACACGTGTATCAAGTTATCAACGGTATATTACAAACACCAGCATCCATGCAAAACCATGTAATTAGTTTGATAAATACTATACACAGCGGATGTACGCTATGGGCTACTAGACTACTAGCTAACTAGACTGCCTGTTCAAAGTTAATATAGCATCGTTTGCACAAACAAATCTAGGGTTAAAAACATGCTATGCAAGAGTTGCTCACGGAGTTGTCACTGATGTTTACAGAAACTGTACATACTGTGCACCTAGCACATGCTGTGAGAGAATATATATCAATAATATGACAGGAAATTGCGATTTGGTTTTTGATCGAGTAAAATAGAAAATGAGGGCTAACAACTACATTCACGCGTATTGCCTAGACCTTCTTTACACGTAAACAATATTTCTATTCAGATTTACTGAATCTCATTCTAAAATGGAAATAAATCCAGACTTGCTGGTTCACCTTTTCAAAATAGAGTGATAACATTTAAGCGTGAAACTGGAGAAGCATAGTCAAAAGTGAAGAACAAAAATTAAAACAGGTTACCTCCATGTAAATGGTTCAGTGGTGACCTCCAGGAGTAAAACATAACCACCACGTGCGTGCAGGGAGACGTCCACAAGTGCCAACACAAAAACGCCATGCCCGCCATTTAAAAATGTAAAAATTGAGGCTTACCAAACGGGAACATACCCAGCGCGTTAGCAATGCCCGTCTTTACGGTTGCCTGCTGAATGTGACTGATTCTGTGCTTGTGTTCTGGCTTGGCCAGAATCACAAGGCGTATGTTCCACAGAGAACAGCAGGCAATCTGAAACAACGCAGAGATATAACACTGTTAAGAAGGGCGACAGAGAAAACTAACGCATTGACAAGCAGGTTCAAAACAGGTTTTGCATACAGACACCTACATCTTTGTTAGATATTTATATATTATGACAGTCTTATCAGGCTATCATATTATAAATGCTTCTAGCTTGCTGTTTATTACAGACGGATGCAAATAATATATAACTGACATTCAATAAGCTTATATGACTTGATCGGCGAATGCATGCAAGTTGATGATAGGGGCTTCATACCTGCAGTAAAAATTCATACTGAAATCACAAGAATAGAAGCAACATACTCTTAGTTTGATGGAAAAGTAAGCACCTATGTAATTTACACTACTATCTAAAGAATTACTCATGTGTGGACATTTTCTGTAATATCTACTTCACTTAAAACACCAAAGGAATACGATGAATTAGAATTCAATGTCAATTTAACTGGAATTCGCCGACATGCACGTGGAGTGTTTTTTATACCACTATAAAATCGATCATCAGCAAATCCTTGAGTGTTAACAGAAGTTTGTGGATCCAATCCTTTTCGCCCATGATACCCTCCTGTGTTCCTATCACATAGATGTCATGAGGCACGTAGTCAAACGCCCCATCTCGTTGCTTTCCACTGCCGTGGGACAGCAACCAGTTGGCTAACGACTCCATCGGTTGTGAATCCGCTACAAACGAATCGTTCGCATCATAAGCACCTCTGATTGTGATATACAATTTATTGTATGCGAGCAAAATATTCTATTCTATGCTACATCGAAAATATACACTAGCTAATACTATATATTTTGAGGTAATTATTGCAATTATCAAAAACAGTACCGCTATATACCAACACATTTTTACACTACCACTACTGCCATCATTGCTATACTGGCACTACGACCACAATTACCACTACATGTACACTCCCACTACCCCCCTCCCTTTACTGATCCACCAACCACTGCTATCACTACACGTACTACCCCTACTACTGCTCTGGCATGCACGTATGTGCGCGCGTACCCTACATCTCACCCATGTTGAAGGTTCCGATGAACTCATACTGGTACTATGACCACAATTACCACTACATGTACTATCGCTACCCCTTTACTGGTACACCAACCACTGCTATAACTATACGTACTACCACTACCCTTCTACTGGTACACCAACCACCACTGTAACTATACGTACTACACCTGCTTCCGCTCTCGCACGCACGTACGTTCGCGCACCACATCTCACCCATGTTGAAGGTTCCTATAAACACCGAGATGCTGTCGACGGTGTCGATGGTCGCGTGCATGCTGTGCATTAGCTGCACGAGCTGACAGAACTTCTCGCGCTCCTGCGCGCTCGTGAACACGTACGTGTCCTTCTTGCGACCTCTGATGCAGATGTCCAGCTTGGCCTTGTTCGACGTGCACTTGATAAGCTGCAATACTGACGAGCGAGAGAAGGACTCTTATCAGTTCCAGTACATTCAGTAAAGCCCAATAATATCAGGAAAACGTGTAATTTCAATTTCTCAGTTTACATTAATAATGGGCATACCATGAGTTTCATTACATTAACGTATTAGTAAAGCCGAGTAAAATCAGAAAAAAACATACAATTTTAATAGCAATTTATGTTAATAACATACACGATTAGGTTCATTACATTTAGTTATCAGTAAAACCCAGTAATATCAGAAATATGAATAATTTTTTATAAGTTTACGTTAATAATGGGTACCATCAGTTTCATTAAATTCACTCAGCAGTAAAGCCAGGTAAATTCAGAAAAAAAACATGTGTCAATAACAATCTACATGAATATTTGTAGACAACTATCTGAGAAAGAAACTGAATAAAGCATTACAGTGGGCTAATAACTAAAAAAAACAATCTCATGGCAAAGAGAAAACTAAATAAGCATTATTGTCGTATATCGTCAGTATCGTCTTATGGTCTTGCCAAGGGCAAACCAACTTGCAGTTCTGCTGTTTGCGTGATATTTTCATTCCTTCCCGAATTATAATGATTCTCATCCTAAACAGCAAATAATTTTCCCCATTATCACACGAACATCAACAGAGTCTGCATGCTTTTTTAAGGCAGGAAGGTAAGATCAGTTGACACTGACAACTGAATACAACACGACGATAATGACAACAAACAGTTACTTCTGTCGTCTGTGAAGACGTTTTTGTCATCTAGAACGTCCTTTGTCGAGTCTCGCTTCACGGCGTACAGCTTCCCTGCCATTGCATCGACCGTCAGCGTGGCCTTTTGATTGGTTTGAAATACGTGTAACTTGGGATTGACAGCTTTCACCTACATGAGCGTCGCAGAAACCGCAAAAGAATTGAAGTGAATCAAACAAAACGCACAGGACAGATTATGCTTGATTAAATGTTTTGAATGCATCAACAAGATCAAGCTTTTTTCTATCGCTGATGACCTCTTCCACACCCATAAGAAACCAATTTGATACTCCACAATACTGACATCGCCTAGAGGTTATCCAAACACAATCCCTAACTGTAATAACCAAGAGACAAATTAACTGTCACTTGAACTACAGAAAAAAAAATTTGTGTATATTTTTTTTTTTGTGTATATATTTTTTCTTCATGTTGTAACGCACTGTTTTGTACTGTATCTCTCAGAAAAACATCATTATAACTACTCAACACTTACCTTAATCACTTTACTAGTGCAGAATATGATGACACTTTTTTTGTATTTATTTTTTCTTCATGTTGTATAGCATTGTTTTGTACTGTATCAGTCAGACATTTTATCATTTTAACTACTCAACACTATTGCATTTATCAGATTTTGTCTCCAGATCTTATCAGATAAATAAAGATTTAATAATAATAAAAATAACAATCACCTCGAAGGCTGTGACAGGTACGCGAGGTGAGACGGGTGGGTCTTGGCAGTTTCCCGATGATTCGTATGAGTACTCGTCGCATACTGACCGGCTCACTGCAACAACAAGCACACGACAATACTGTGACAGATCTTCACTCTCAGCCTTGTGGTCACGCCTTGACAGATATGCATATATCACAGAGGCACATGTACGCACACATACGCCACGCTGACACTTGTACGCGCACATGCCACACTGCCACACGTATGCACAGATACACCAAACTGACATATGTTTCTACACATACACTACACTGACATATGTATGCACACATACACTACACTGACATATGTATCCACACATACACTGCACTGACATACGATTGCACACATACACCACACTGACACACGTATACACACATACATTACACTGACATACGATTGCACA